TTAAAAATTTTCTGAATACTTCTTTGATGAATGTGGCTTTTATTTCACAGTGAAATGACATCCTACTCCTGGTTTTAGGATGGCTATCATTTCTGGATTAGGCTGATCTAATTCACATTGCACTGTGTAACAAAGCCAACACCAAAGTCACTAAAATGCAATAACAATGAGTTTAAAAGAAGCAGAATGTACAATATATAGAATATTCTATGGTTTATGGTCAGCACTTACTTCATGGCACTTCAGCATGACCCTCCTCTGACAACAGCAGTCATGACAGCAAATAAAAATGACAAAATGGAATGACTGAAACACTGCAGAAATTAGTAACAAAGCAAGCAATCCTGTGAAATTGGTTGACAAATGGTTAACAACATGAAATGAGTCTACTGAGAGAGCAGTCAAGTGAAAAATCAAGGCTTGAGAACTATCCCACCTATTTCATCAACTACAAGACCCAGACATCCTTTACAACAAACCAAATGTAGGATCAGTCCTTGGATTTGCTACTAAGCAGGATTTGCTTCTAAGTTCAGTTCTGCCTTACCTGTTTATGGAAAAAACAGAAACTTTTCCAGATACTCGTGAAAAAAATAATTCAGAGATGGCCAAAACTACTGGCCATGGACAGTTCCACTTTTAAAACTTGTTATTCCAACACAGTACAGGTTATTTTTCCTAGAGAACTCAATTCTGCCTGGTTAAGCATCCTCCACAACTCCCACATTTATAATGAGCATTTCCCACTACCAGAAGTGATGCCAGCTCACCCCAGAGGCCACAGGAACATTGTGCAAACACAGCCAGAAGAACACAAGCACTGTTTGAACTAGAAATTGTTTCTCCCTGTGGCAAAGCTACCGATCATTTTGGTACCAGTGCTGGGACGGAGCAGCGGCAGTTGCTGTTCATTATTCTTTATTAATACTCGGAGCCAGGATGCTGTTTTCGCTGGGTGCTGTGTTTTCTCTCCCCAGCAGCCATGGGGTCTATCCTGTGTTAATCACGCTGACATTATTCAGCGGGTCTCAAAGGCTTGCACTTGATCACCACGTTGCTACGCAACTGCCGGGTTCACAGACAGAGCCAGCGCTCCCCCCTTCACCTGATAAAAATCCCGCCTTTCTCTTCTCCCCAGTTCTTTTATCAGCTCCTTGTAAAAGCCAGTAGCCTCTCGAGTGAATTTATAGCACCACTGTATTTTTAACACCACGGTCGATACTACGTGTCCTGTCCTCCTCGCTGAGAGCAGAGCATCACCTGCCAAGGCAGGTGCTCCCTCCCTGGGTCTTCCCAGCGCTGCACATGAGCATATCCAAATTTGGAAACAGGAATCACAACCAGAGCTCGTCACTGGGGCTTTAGTTCCGGGTGTTTGGGTCAAACAGAGCCCCATATTCAAGCAACCCTCAAGGTTTTCTGTAAGGAAGGATGAGGAAAATCAGAGGGAGCGATGGTCAGATACTGGGACCTGACTACATAGAGAGACCAGATTAAAATCTCTATCTATTGCCATAATTTCTTAAATTTCTTAAAGTAAATGATGGCCAAAATTGGGAGTAGAGTCTCTGTTCTCAAACCTTCTGACCAAACTATGCTTTTATTAGTACAAAGTAAGCAAGCGCATCCTCCTCCTTCTTCCTCTTTTTCCTTCTCCTACCAGACTCCTTTTCCCTATCCCATGGCTAGCCACTGTCACTGAGAAGCAGATGGTTTCCAGACAAAAGTTTTCAGGCTTTATTTAAAATCTTGAAACTCAGTGTCTCCACAAGAACCATGGAAAACTATAAATACCCTGTGTAAAATTATTGTTAAACCCGCGTGCAGAGAATAAAAGCAAGTTTAGGGTGGTTTTAATGTAATAACTGAGAAATTATGTTCAGTACTGTAGGATGACCTCTTCCTAATCCTCATTTACCAAAAATATACAAAAAAGGATATTTTTATGGGTTTCTGTGGCAAGAACTATCTACAGTTTAATTCACCCCTGTACTACCCTAACAGGGCAGTTGCTGTGAATGAACCACAACTGTACATCTACTGTGCAAAAGGCTGTGCAAAAGGAATTTTCTGGGATATTTAGGATTCTACTCTGGGCTATAACTTCATGTATGGGCCAATAAGCAACTACATATTTTTAATTTCATCAGGCTGCTTGGGTTGTGAACATCACCCAAGCAAGCCTGTGAATGTTGTTGCTATTTATAACACTTCCCAATCCCTCTCCTTGGCTGAAGGAAGGGAACATGCATACTCATTTTTTATCATTTTTCCTTTAGCAGAGCCAACAAGTTGTTCTTTAATTTAGCAGAATCCATGCTTTTCATGAGCTAAAATTCCTTTTCTCCCTTTCTAATGCAACCTCACAGGGAAGGGCTGCAAGCTCTGCAATTGGCTGTCATAGGCTTTATAGTATTAGAAAAAAAAAACAAGAAACTCCATGAATTTTACCTTTAAAATTTAAATATTAGCTTTCATACTTGAAATTTTCACAAGTTGGTATTCCTTGGTCATAATATTTGACAGCTTTGTAAAAAATTGTGGTAGTTGTGCAAGTGGGCTAGAAAGGCTGTAATTTATTTAACTTTTAAAAGATAAGACAGGAGTAAAAGCAGTAAAAAAAAAAAAGCATTTACCAAGCATCAACGGCTTATGCTGCTCCCTCTTTCAGACTTCTTATCAAGCTGAGAAATCAATCCTCTCTCATCCACCCCTGGCATGTGGGGCTGGTTTTGCACAGGCAGAGGGGAAGGTCCTGCCTGGCTCCAGGGGGTGGAATCTGAATCTACAGCTGATCTTCTACATTTCCATTTCTCTACCTCACCCTTGTCGAGATGAAAAGGAATTGCCTGCAGCACCTTTCCAAATATACTTTTAATATCTGTGGGTAGCTGGTTCTCCTCTGCTGGCTCCCACATATCACTTCGCTTAAAAAAGAGATCCTTTTCTGATCATTTTAGCATCTTCAGTTAACCTCGTAATTAAAAAATAACATAATCATATCACTTTTGAAAACAGAACGAAACAAAACACAGCTCTCCTTCCTCCTGTTCCCACCAGGAATTCTGTTTTCTTCCACGGTCAAACAGCAGCCAAGAGTTTTGCTGCTCTATTCCACTGCCAATTTATCCTATTTGTTCCTTCATAGATCTTTCGGCATTGTTACATCCCAGGATCCTCTCTCTGATTTGCAAAGATGTCTGTTTGGTTTTACTTTTCGGGAAAGAAGTAGGATTTCAGCCACATTGAAATAATGCTTTGGGTGGTTTTGTTTCCAAATTGAGCTTCTGTATTCCATAATGAAGACTAAAGAATTTGCCAAACCTGAGTTGGACAGCGTTACAAATTTATATTGCTTTTCTGTCCTTGAGCTTTTTGAATTTTTTTAAAGTCAGATCTTTCTCTAAAATGGGGCTACTCTTACTTATGTAATAGTTTGCTTTCCTCCAATGAAGTGGTATAGTTTTTAATTTTTTTCCAGCCTTTATAATTTTTAAACATCTTTTCTCAAAAAAATGTATATTTACTTCTACTTTTCATTTTCCTCTCAGTAATGATGATACTTTGATATTTTTACAGTACATTGTAGTTGGTAGCTTCAGTTATTTTCTAATAAAATAGGGATGGTAAAGATCTCCACTGTAATCTGGAAATACCTATCATTTTAAAAATAAAAGATGATTAATATTATACACATGAAGCTAAAGGCAACGTGGTCATGGGACTTAACAAGAAACACAGAATCATAGAATCAGCCAGGTTGGAAAAGACCTCTGAGATCATCAAGTCCAACCCTTGATCCAACACTGCCATGGTTACTAGACCACATGATCAATGTCTAGCAAAAACAGTGGTTTTTTTCATGTATGAAGGCTTTCCCTGTACAGTCAACTCAGTTTCTGCTCCAATTAGTCAAGTGCCACCGACAAGAAGTCCAGAATTTCAGTGTTTTATTTCCATTCTTTCATTCTAAAAATTGTATTACCCCCCTGTCACCAGTTTGATGACTTCCATCTTGCAGAAAACAATATGAATACCTGAGGCTGAGGCTGTTGATCATACTGTTTTCTGAATGAGCAATCATTTGCAATCAACAGAGCCATCCTTCCCTTAAAAATCAAATTACCTTCATGTATGCAAAGTATAGCAGCTTTTCAAAGGCTGACTTATTTATTAACCAGCAGAATAATTCTAACAAAAATTACTTTTTTTTTTTTGTTTTGTTTTGGTGACTGGATTTCATGAGATTATGTCCATGTTCCACAAAATTACTTGTACATTCCCCCAGTGGTGTCTGGCTTCTGTTACTTATCACTTAAGTACCTTTCAGAAACCAGTTATACATGAATGTATTGCAGTGCCCTGCCAGGGACACCTCCTTCAACCTGTGAACATCAGGGACTATTCACTAACCAGAAAAAGGCAGAACTTAAACCCCCTAATACTAAGTGGCAGAGATGCTAAATTAACTTTTTAGTAATAACATGAACACCTTACAGTGATTTCAATGAGTAATTTTCTAAAATAGCTTTATGCTTTATGGTAAAGTGGATTATGAGAGGCCTCAGCATGAATCAAATGGCACCACACAGTGAATGTGAAGGAACCCTAGGCAAAACCATGTTTTACCTGTTTGAAGCCAAAATAGCTTATGGGACTGAGGGAAAAATAAATTATCACCATATTTTTAAAGAAAAAAAAATTAAAGAGAAAAATACTGCTTAAAAAGAAATCCAAGTGACTCACGTCGAAATGATTGAAAGGTTTGTGCAAACTGTCTTTAAAGTTTGAGAAGACTGAGAAAGCTCCTGTCCTATGGTGTAGGCTACACAAATATTGACAATGTAAGGAATTCTTGTTTGACATAGACTATTCATTAAGCAAATACATAGAACAGAGTACACTCTTCTTAAATCTACATGATTTACAGGGGAAGTTAGTGAGGGGCTGGCAAAAAAATCAAGCCTTTATCAGGAAATTATTTGGTTAATTACTTTTACCTTGTACTGAGACTTGCAGTCTTTGTTCCGGTCGGTGACTCCAATCCCTCCCCTGGTTTTGAGGATTTCTCTCTGTTCATTTGCTGGAGTATTGAGTTCAATTCACTAATAACATTAGCCTTGGGGCCTGAGAGAATCGGGCTTTTCACCTCCGGCACATCCCCCCATAGCTTGGATGTCCTTTGGGGGACAACTTTAGCCATGTTGGGCTGGGCACTGATGGGAGGCGGGGGCGGAGCGGGAGGAGGGATCACAAAGCTGTCCACAGTCTCCTCGATCAGCGCGTCCTTGTAAAGTGCATTGCTTTTGTTGATTATGGGCTTCATTTTTGGCTTAGGAGGTACTGGGGGTTTGTCCACCAGAAATGTTTGCCCATCTGCATAGACTGTACAAGTATCCACGTTCTCCCCCCCTTCTGAGGATAAGGTAGAGATGCTGGACACCGTTGAGATAGTGCTGGTTGTCTCTAAGTGATGGTCACTACTACTTCGGCTGTCTACCTCCTCAATCCCAGAGTCAGTGACGTTATCAAAGCTGTCAGGGGGTGGCAGAAAGGAGGCAGGCAAACAGTTTGAAAGACCCATTTGCTTTTTGCTGTCTAGGGAATTTGTTGGCTGGCTGGGGGGGAATGGTGCGGGCAAGGGTGTGCCATTCTTCCTCTGCGTGATCAGGTCTGTCAGAGCTGACCCAGGAGCCGCACGGTCGTCGGGGATATCAAAGCTGTTGGCAAACTCCAAGGGAGGGGGCAATGGCTCAGTGAACATAAACTCTTCATCAATATCCACCGATGCCAAGGGTGGTGGGGGGATGCGGAAGGGCAGGATGACGGGGTCATCGACAGAGCTTGCTGCCACGATGGTTTTGCAGGGAGATGCCGGTGGCTCAGGTGCAGCAGGTGCGCTCAGCTCACTTTCTTCCGCTTCCTCGCTCCCCTCTACCCTCTCTGGCGGGGAGTTTTCAGGACTTGGCTCCATCTCAGCTTCCTTTTCCTCCTCATCTTCAGGCATATCGTCTGACTTCGCTGTGTCCACGGTATGAACCATCAACAAGCCAGCTGACTTCTGCTGTGAGGTATCCACAATGTTTATCAACATGTTCTTCTTCTCCTCAGCTTTCTTTTCTTTTCCTGCATCTGTTTCATACTTGTTCTCAGTCTCCTGCCGTCTCAACAAGCCACGGGTGTTTTGCCTCGTGACAGTGGCAGTAACAGGAAAAGTTGTTTCCATGTTGGGTCTCAGCTTTGTATCGATGTAAAGCGGTTTATTAAGGTCTGTTTTGACAGCATCTCCTTTGCCTGGAATCTGCTGTGTTTGTTCTTTCATGGCTCTGTCCCTGGCAGAGAGCGCGAGGGCTAGTGGTGAGTTTGGATCCAACAGCTTCCCTGTGACCGGGTGCACGTAACTCTCCGGGCTGGATGCGTTCGTGGACTTGGCTGCCACTGCACTATTGTCAGTACCTTTCATTTTGGACGAGGCATTTAATGTCCTTGAGTCACTCTGATTGCTGGGCTCACTGCTATTAAAGAGACTTTCAGGCTCTCTGGGTGCAGGAATAGGCGATGGCGACATGAGCTGTCTGAAACCATCCTCGCTACTGAACATTGCTTCATCGGTGAACTTAGACTGCCTCATGCGTGGTGTTGGTGGGGTTAGCCCAACATCCTCATCTCCCAGGTCCGTGGAAAGGAAGGCTGGAGAATTCCTCCTAGCTTCCAGCCTCTTTTCCCTGTCCCTCACTGCCCCTGCAATGGCTGCTGCGAACGGACTGCTGACGCCCAAGCTGTCATCGGGCCGGAGCTGCCCCGGTTGCTCTGAAGACTGAGGATCAATCTCCATGCTGCTCCCTTGGCTGCTTTTCCCACTGCTGCTGGTGGATGGCTCTTTCACAATGATTGTAGGGATTGGAATAGAGCAGGTCTTTTCTGGACTGTCCTCAACGTTGGATTGTTTCACCAGCATCCCCTTCCGCCTCGCTGGTTTGGCCGGCACGTAAACTGCTTTGCTTGCAATCTTCCCAACCTCAGAATATGGATTTTCTGGCATCTGACCCCTCTTGTTCCTGAAATTTGCCTGAGATGCGGCACTTCGACTGTACAGGTCTTCTGAGTCCAGAGAGTATCGGTCCAGTTCTCGTCTGTAATAGATCCCTTTGTCCCTTATCATCGTTCCCACGCTCTCAGGCCTAACCAAGGAAATTTTTGCACCTGAATTCTGGTTAAATGGAGGTTTAATAGTTCCATAGCTCCTTGTTGTCAGGGATTTGGGGGAGTTGTACAGAGAGGGAGAAGGTGGTGGTGGTGAGGGAGGTAAGGACTGTGGTGGTGGTGGGATATCTTCAGAGGTGTCAGGCATTGAGAGACTTCTGGTAAACTTCAGCATAGGAGGAGCCAGAAACTGCCGTTCTTCCTCTGTTATTCCTAAAAAAATCAGAAAGTATATTTAAAACACTGTCTTCCACTGGGATCCCTCTGCATTATTACTGTATTATTTCTGTATCCAACCCAAAATGCCAGGGTGCATTTCCCATGACACAAGGCATATGCAAAATTCTAAAGGAGGTCTTTTGGTTGATTCCTACATAGGAATTCTTTCCTGTTGGACTTCCAGGTGCCAGAATTGAAAAGGATGCTACAGAGTTTTAATTAAACTGATCACTGATGTGTAGGCAAATGTTTGGGGTTTATGTATCATCAAGGTAGCTGTAGAGAAGCACATTTTCTATGAAAATTACTGAAGAGGGAAGATGTTCTGTGCAGAAGAGTAGCTTCTGCCTTGCTCTAGCACTCTGTAAAATGCATATAATAATGCAACTTGGAAACCTAATGAATTTTTAAGATGCATTTGGAATTTAGCATGACGACTGTGAAGATCCTACTGGGGACAAAAATCATAACGTTTCCTTACAAAGGATGACATTATATCATTACAAATACAGCTTTTAACACAAATAAACCAGGTAATAGTGGGGTAATTTGGATGCTAATTTTACATCAGCATAATGTGTTTCTAAATTGATAAAAATCACTACTAAGATTACTACCAAGAACAAAGCAAACCCAAATTTGGTCTGGTTTTGTCTGTTCTTCCTTTCTTTATTGTAAAATCATCTATTGCCATAATTTGATATGAAAAAAAGGAGAATTTTAGTCTGTTTGATAAACAGGATTGCTTTGTAAACTACACAGCATTACAGTGCTTTTACCTCAATAACAAAGAAAAAAGGGATAATGTTTTGCCCCAATGCTTTGCAAAGGGCTTGTACTGATCTTTTTTTTTTCCTTGTTAGAGGCAACATTCTAAAGAAAACAATTACATTATAATTCCAGAGTTGCCTACTGCCATCAAAGCAGAATGTGGAAATTACATCACCTAACACAAAAACTTCTTTTCTCATGAACTTTGTACAAAAATTAAACAGTCACTCACTGACGCAAAGGTGTCGGAGGACTATGCTTTAAGAGAGAAGTAAAGTTACTACAAGTATATGATTAATGCACAAGTAAACTATACATGAGAAGCATTTTACCTATAGATTTTTGTCTCCTCATTGTACCCCGAGGTATACCCAGAAACGGACCTTGAGGACTCCCTGGTACAGTGGGCGTCATCACGGCAATACCCTGTCTCTCATACATGGACTACAAAAAAGCAAACAGAAACCCCACAAGCATTAAAGCATGAATGTCTCTTTCACATGTAAATAACTGTTCTGTCATAGCTGCTAATCCACTATCCCTTTTACTTAGAATTCCTATGGAAAATTACAAAATTGGTGTTATTCTAGGGAGGAGGGGAACAGAAAGGGAAGGGTTTTATTTATATAAAGTGACAGCAGCTGTAAGTGTATTTCCTTGAAATTATTTACAAGGCAATATATTAAAGTTTCCAGCACATTTTGAGTGCTGTAAGAAAGCGGAAGCATGAGCAACTGCATTTTAATTCATTCAGTCCCAAAAACCCAACCACACACCCTGTAGCTATTAATGCTCCCTCTGTGTGATCTCCCTTCACTTCTGAAGACCAGACCTATTCTTGGAGTCTTGCACAGACTCAAGGTGTCTTGTGCAAGGTTACACTGGCAGTCAGCATCTCAGCTGGGAACTGAGGAATGCGACCTGAATCCCAGTGCTCTCAATTGTTCCTCCTTCTCATCACAAAACTATTTGTACTCTACCTCTTAGAATAGCCTTAATTTCCTTCCACCCTGAGCTGCTGCGAACAGAAAGTGCTTGTTACATCAGGACTGATGCTCTTTCAGAGAGATGGATAATGGAAAAATATATCTAAAATGCAATAAAACCAATTTTTTTTTTCACATGCAAAGTTTTGTGAGACCAAATCCTGCAACTGAACAATTCAATTTCAGAGTTCTGGAGTTTAATTTTTAATACGTGCTACATTAATTAATGTCAATTTTTCACTTACAAATCATCGTGCATTATTTAATTGAGGTACTATATATGCCATTAGGACAATAAAAACCTGCAGTAGGAGAAACTTTCGCATTAGTGGGGATGGTGTGGCTGCACTAACTCTGGTGTTGAAACTGAAATAGAATACCTTGATTTTCAGCATGTTTTTTTTAACTTAGGCTTCGTGTTGTAATGACACCTTCAAGTTCAGAACTTGTTGGGCTCTCACCAGCTCAGGTTCACATCTGCTTGAGTAACACTGAGGGAGCAATGCTGTTCGTGTGACAGTCTCAGAATAAATATGAGGACATAATGAGAAAGGTTTTATAGGGGTATGTAGACTGTTCTGTCCCAAAACTATTACTAGAAATGCAGAGTAGACCATGCCTTAAAAGTTACAAGATAATAAAAGTAAAATAAATATCTAAAGCCAAAAGACCCCCTCCAACCAGTTCCAGAAATGAAAGCAGCACTTCATAGCTCCCACTCACATTCATATCTGTAGCTGAGGGAAAACATCTACTAGAAGGCCTCTGTTTTATCGTTGCCACTCTCGAGTCCACAGTTGCATTGTCTGCAATTCTTGATGGCTTGGAAACTGGTACTATTTCATCCACCTTATCTGTAATATAAAAGCGTTCAGTAAAATAAATATCATTTGTCCATAGAAACTGAAAAGTATTGCAGGGTCAAAGGAAGAGATTTACGTTTCAAAAAAATGCAAAGAAAAATTTTTTTGGCATTTTAACAAGGCAACGCTTGAGCATCATAAGTCGTGCAAGCCGAGCACTTTTTATTGCTGCTACATAACATGCATGCTTTAGTTTTAAGCCTGCATGCATTTAATGTTTACTTAGTGTGACTCGAAAAACAATCCTCTTCTTCAAACCTTCAAAATGTGAAGGGAGAATATCTATATAGAAATGGAAAGAAGACCTTTAGAAATAATGAATCTGTACAGCACTGTTTCAAATAGAGATAAGCAGACTGTACTTAGTCATCAGAATTTCAGTGATATTTTGGACAATAACAAGTACTCCAGAAGTGCTCTTTTATGCCTATTCTCCTCAAGTAATAACGTTCTAATTTATTCACACTCTTGGACTCATAGACTGGCATTACTAACTGCATTACTTGTTTAAATGAAACTTTAATATGTGGGTTTTTTATTTTAACTACTGGATGGCTTGAGAATGTATTTAGTTGTGGTCAGAAACAGACCAAATAGGCAAAGTCCAAGTCTGAGTGAGAGCTTCAACATTTGGATTTGGGATTCTGATCTACCATATGACACGATGGTAAAATATGGGGAGAACTTTATTCAGAATGTTCCAAAGCTGAGTGCTGGTGTTAGCCCCGTCTCCAACTTTGGTCACAAACAAGTTCCATCAGCACTTAATACATTAGGTTACTCCTTCAGACTGAAGACCTCAAAGTACCATATAATCAACTAATTATTGCCTGACAGTTCCTTTTTTTGCCCCTTCTACTACTGTGAAACCAAGGCATGGAGAAATTAAACAAGTAGCCTAAGCCACCAGAATAGTTTGAGTTTTGAATCTGTGCTAGAATCCAAAACTGAATCATACCAACAGGTTTCCTTGCTACGCCTTCCATGGCATTTGCTTCCCTGTGCAGCACGTTAATTTAGTGTCTTTTCCTTTGAAGTTTCACCAAAGTAAGGATTAGTTACATAGCCTGTGGTGTTTGTGTGAGTGGAATAGCTTAGCCTGGCTCCTGGGCTTCCACAACACGAGTTAGAGCAATGTTACTTTTCAGAAATTAAATCCATCTCCCAAATAATTGTTTATTTGCTTCAGCAAACAAGGGTAGCTACTTCATTAGGGTACTATAGATTTAAAAAAAAAAAACAAACCACCATTTTTTTTGGCAGTGTTACTATGCCAAGTATTGGATTTAGGGATTTAAGTTTTACCTCTCACAGGAGAGCAGCGCACTCAGGGCCCTGGATATTGATATGGATGGGAATAAGGCAGGAGGAAAAGAGCTTTTGATCCCTCTAAACAGTAGATCTGGCTGATGCAAGGATGGTATTTTAAAAGGGAGAAAAAGAGAGGGAAAAACTTTTAGCCTTCGGGTTAGGAAGTAGGTTGTCCTAGAAGTGGATATTTCAGTGTCACAGAGGATCAGGGAGCAGGCAGGAAAGGAAAGGCTGAGCAGGACCAGCAAGCTGAACACTGCTGAAAACTGTCTCACAAGAGTAGTGTTGCTATTTCTTTTCAATTGAAGTTAGCATTCAATTCTTTTCATTGGTCTGCTTTATTTTTTTGGTGGGATTTAAATCATCCAGTGGAAGGAGAAAAAGGAAAAAAATTCTTAAAATCATCACACATATTCAAAAATAAAACAAACTTCATGTCACATTTCATAATGACTTTGTTATACAAACTGTGAACTTCTGAAAGAAAAATATCTGCACTTCTGCTCAGCAAAAGGCATCAGAAAGCAACGGTGTAACCACGAATATTTGACCTATACATCAAAAATATGGCCAGACTGCAGAATCATACTCAGGGGATCTATCACCAAGAGCTTCAACTGGGCAGAGATTTCCTGTTAAGGCTCTCCCACCCTTGTTAACATTCCAGAAGCCAAACAACTGGTCTTTTGGACACAGAAAGAAGGAAGTTTTGGAAACTGAAGCACTACATACTCAAAATCTGTACATAAGAAATATAAATATACCATGTAAGAACTGATCCCCTTTATTTTTAACAGACACATGTAACCATATACCCATTCAGACAACAAAAAGCTACAGGGAAAGAGTGATGAGGCCATGACAGACACTTGAAAAGCATGAAAATATTTGTTGGGGATGGAACATACATACCCTCCAACTGCACTGATTTTGCTAGACAATACTACAAGTCAGATCCTAATGTTGGATCTGAGCAAAATATCAGTTGGCACCAATTCTTAATACCATCTACTACTTCCAGGTGGAAAAACCCCCTTGGCTTTGTGTAAGTTTATTGCAGGTTTCTTGTCTGTAGGTTCCCAGTCCTTCTCACCCTATGGCTGCTCCCGTTGGAGTGGTGCTTTGTGCCTTGCCATATCTAGCTAAAGCACTTGGAAATGGAAGAGGAGAGCAGGTTAAAGCTTAAGCTGCTTTGCAAGGAACTCTTTAGTGCTTCCTTGCGTGGCACTTTCAACTGCAGCACTGCTATATCTTCTCTTTGCTCTGCTGCCTTTGGTCAGGAAGCAAAGGTGGAGTGGAGGCTGTTGTTTTGAGACTACAACAAAAAAATTTGAAGCCATGGAAGTAGCCAGCACGTGGGAACGAGATTGGTTCTAAATGGTAGCAGCTACATGGCGGGTCCTGAAGAGCAAGTCAAATTCTTAACATCTGGCCACAACTCCACCACCCTTCTGAAGTGAAAGCACTGTGCAAAATAAAAAACATTCTCACTGCATTATCAAACGTGCTACTTAGGCCAAATTGACTGGCTGAATTGTACTTAGCTTCACTCAAACTCATCCCAAAGAAAGAAGATGTAAACATATTGGGACAAACCCTGTGCTTTGAACTGGGCTGTTCACATCCACAGTACCAGTGTGCAAACCACTTATGCACCAGAACTAGCTTGTTCAGAAGGCCATAATAATTTGTCAGGATCACTAATTAGCTTCTCTCCCAACCTCCTTGTGACCTCAAATACTCTGCAGCATGCATTTCTTGCACCAGTGAGAGGGAAAAGCTTACAAGCTTGTGTTGGAAAGTCTCTGAGGATAACTTTACAAATAGTTCTGACAAAAGAGATATTAAAAAAAAAAAAAGCCACAAAATAGATGCAAAAATTGGTACCCGGTGTGAAGTGTGGCCAAAGAAGCCCACCTCCAATGGCATTTTTACAAGGAACTCAGCTGGATGGAGGTGAAAGGGAAGAAATATTTGGTAGTGGAAAAAGCCTACACTGGAGGTTGGCCATGCCAGATGCAATTTCATCCTTAAATCAGTCATTTAGCAAAGTACAGCCACAAGCACACACGCACACACACTTATACGGGAGCAATTTGTGGCTGACTGGCAGAATAACAAAATATGATCTGCTTTATCTTGAATAACCTCACAGAAAGACAGGGAAGAAGAGTCTATGTCTCACTGGACAGAGAGCACAGCTCGGTTGTAATCACAGAAGAGAATTTTTAAGCCTATGGTTGTTCTCTAGTATTTTCCATTCATCACTGCTTTGCCATATAAACTCTTCTGAACGTTCCCAAGAAGTTACAACGGTGTGTTGAGAGTCAAACATAGGAGCCATGCTACACCCGTGAGAACAGGTCACCACCGCTCAGGGGGCTCCTGGCAACAGCATCCTTTCAGAGAACTGTCAGGGATACCACATGGAAAAGCCAAGTCTGATGCCTCTGCATGCATATAGCAGTTTGAGTGCCACTAAATTAAATTCCCCCGAGAGAGGCAGCACCAACAGATATAAAATAATTTATTGCAAAGTGCGTTTCCATCTGCCCTGTGGGTTTCCAATGGGCCCCGTGCTCTGCTCAGGGTGCCAGCCCTCAGAAAATTAGATGGCCTAAAGGCACAGGAAGTAGTTGTGTTTTATCAAGATGTAGGTCGTCTCTGATGAGAAGCTCTTAATCACAGACAGAGGAGCACAGTACCCAACAGCGTGTCATGACTTTTACATTCTCAAGAGGTCTGGCTGCCAGGCAAGTTGCTTTTTTTCTTTTTTTTTTCTCTTTTTCTTAAATAATTAATATCTCTGATAATTACAGGGGACAGTCTCCTCCTAATAGATTTGTTGCAGGAGATGGCTCTTATCCCCGTAGAACACATTGCTTAGTGACTCTTGTTTCCAATCCCCAGACTCTCTCAGAGGAAAAATTATAATGCTGCCCATCAAGCCACCAGATCCATCATGAAAGGAACTTTGAAAATGAGAGCCAGGTGCCTAGATAGATCTGGTGGCACATCACTATACAGCCCCCAAAGGAGAAATATGAGGTATGATCCTGGCAACATTACTTATTGTACGACATAGCCAAGACATGTGGATTAGCTCCACCGAGGGTCTTAGAAACTGAGCTGGTCAGACCCACAGAGGATAAGAATGATCATGATCCGGTACAGGCTGACCCCAACACCTCAGGCTGGCATGCCAGAAACACCAGGCAAAGACTGATCGAACACAGTTTTGGAGGCGAGTATTGCGAAGACCTCTATACTTACCACCAAGTCCCGAGTGCTTGCTCAGAGGGGATGGGATAATGGAGAAAGAAAACTCAAAAAACAGCTGCCTCAAGAAATGACTTGTATTTGTAAGAAAAGCAATGAATGCCTGGCACAGAGTAAAAAAATGCTCGTATGAAGTTAAAGTGAAAGAACAGAGGCAAATGTTCTTCAAATACCAGCAGCACACATAGTTAACAGTGCAAATATAAACTACAAAATGTTAGACTAATCTAGTCAGCCAGAATACAATGTTAGCCAATGTAGGAAATGGTTGAAACTCTGCCACCAATGGCCTTATGGCTAAGAATTAAAAGGACAGGCACATTAAAAAAAACCTCTAAAAACCCTATGGAATGGTTATTTTTTCTTCCCTCCCCCTTTTGCCTGGCGTGGAGGCATGGGCAGCGAGGCCCTCTCGGTTATGGCTCTCTGCAGCCGGCCACTGCGACAAGGCAGGGTGGCCTGCGGCGGGTCTCGAGAGTCGCCCGTCCCCTCGGCCCCAGGTAAGCACACAGTGGAGGATGCCACTGCGTCCTCCCCGGTCCATGTCGAGGCACAGGTCAACTCGACATGGGGGGTGGCTCTTTGGGAAATGCGCGTTTCAAGGACCTGCGTCCTCGGCTGCTTGAGGAAAGCTAAAATCTCTGACAGGTAGTTATGGATGGCTCTTGTGGAGGTAGCCACAATGCCCAGCTGCAGCTCCATGCGGCCCATGGACTGGGACATGAGGCCCATGGACTGTGCATGCTCCCTCTTGATATTTTCCAGCAGCTGCACAATCCTACTGTTGGTTTCCATCAACAGCTTCTCTCCCTCTGTTAGCTGGGGCTGCCCTCTCCAACCCCGATCCCTAGGGACAGGCTCAACACCGCAGCGCTCTTCATTCATTTCATCATTTCCCTCCTCCTCAGGAGAGTCACTTTCAAACTGAGGAGTTCTACTGAGTGACTGATCCCCGGGAGACTGTATGTCCATGGTACACTCCGGAGTCCGCGCTGGCGTTTGAAATCCCTCAAAATCCTCCCCAACGTTGCTGTGCGTTTCAGACGAGGACAGTGGCCACTGCCAGCTCTCTGTGGTCCTGGCTGGTGAGTCTTCGTCAGAGGCAGGCACCGAGGATTCCTGTTCTTCGGCCGGCGTGGACAGCAAGCTCCCTCGGTGATGGCCGGCTTGCCCCGAGGATCCAGGAACCTCCCCATCTTGCTCCCCAGTGACATCTGGCAATCAAATAGAGGAGCAACAACCACTGTATCTGAGGCCAGGCAGATGGAGGTATCTACATGCATTGGACAACACATAGAAAGAAGCCAGTTGGGAAGCCAAGAGTGTATGTGTTTGGGCAAGCAGAAGGGCCGACTAAATTTTAGTGACTGCACTGGGCATGTGGCAGTTGAAGTTATTAACCACTTTTGGTACCAATGCACACTGTCCTGTACCCAGAACACACACAGCCGTGCTGCATCCCAAGGCAAGGAGCTACCAGTTCCCCTCAGCATGACTGTGACAGGAAATGTCAGTGAACCTAGCGAAAAGCTCACCTATGCACTGCAGTGGTGCCAGTCAGAAATCCCTGGGACGAGCTCAGGGCCAAGGGTCCAATTGAGCTTCCTGGGGTGCCAGATGTGCTCCACCACTGGCTGAGGGCAGCCCTTTGTTGCTCTGAGGCACTGCTGGCTATCTTCACTTTTGTCCGCCGTCTCACGTCACCCCCACCCCCAGTGGGCTCTCTCCCAAGTCACTGCTGCAGCGCGACGGTGCCCGTCCACGGGGTTTATCCCGCGAGCAATGCCCTCCCGAACATTTGCCGGATTCTCCTTGCTCTTTTCCTCCAAACAGTCGGAAACGCTATCTGAGGGCATTGCTCACCGGGATCTCATCATCTCCTGGAAATGAACTGAGTTTTGCCCTCCCCTGGCTACCTCTTCCCTTGCCTGAGGGCACGTGGTGGAAACCTGGGTGCAAGTGCTTCCCTGTGGCAGCTCAGCGTGCAAAGAGGCATCACTACAGACGTTAAGGTGGAGGATGCTATCTCTTTGCTTACTCTAAATCCTCCCCTGTATAAAATGCCCCCCTCAAAGGTGAGGAATGGCTCAGCCGTTTGCACCTGCAGCCATCACTGGCTCACAGTAGAGCACCATCTGCCCAGCTCCATTCTGGATTACGTGAGACTGTGGCCACAGCTCTCACCTTTTCCATGCTTCAGATTGAAAAAATGGGTCTGCCTTTTTTTTTTTTTTTTTTTTTTTTTTTTTTTTTGATGGGGGACAATTTGGCCATCAGAAATTAATCTGGGGCAGTCTGGCTAAAATGTTGTGGTAGGGTAGCCCAAACCCCTGCATTCCCAAGGCTCAGGCAAGGGATAGGTGACAGAAGTGCTGTTGTCAGTAGGATTGTGTCCTGATTAGCAGTGGCTCACCGTTGCTGGCTGTGCTGCTTACACTACAGTGGTCTGGATGCCTACTCTCTGGCATCCCAGTCCCAAAAAAAGTTATTTTTCAAGGATTAATTTCTGCTTTTTGAAATACTCTGTATGCTGCTCTTCAGACCTCGACAGAAGCTGTAAGCTTACATCTGCAAGGTGTTGCTGAGGTCATATTAAATGATAATTTTGCTTCTGTTTATGAGTCAGTGGGGGTTTTGATAGATTTTTTTAAAAATTATTTTGTATGGTTTAAAATGAAAGCTCCTTCTCGCAGACCCAAGGATCCCTCCTCCCTGTCTACCATAACGTGGTACTCATTATTTCTGCACCCAAGTGCCTCCAATATTATACTGGCCTAAAAGAGATTCTGTGTGACTTAATAGAAAGATGAGTTTTAAGTGCTAAAATAATGGATATTATTTGTGCATTTAGCATATTCACTACTTCAAAGTATTCACATTCAAAGTATTCATATTCCCTCTAGCTGGACTGTCCAGTTGCATGTTTTATGGAAAGTGAGGATGAGATTGTATTTGTAAAAAGGCATGAGCTCCTTATGAAAATGAATTTTAGGGACAAACTGTCATGCAATCATTGGCTCTTCCACTCCACGGAGATTTGAAAGCGACTATATATCAACCTAACTAATAACTGATTCTTCCTTTGCAATTCCTCTCCCACTTTGTCTAATACAGCCATAGGCATTCCTTCAATAACAAATCTCTCTTTACAACTATAGTGTAGGACCATGCATTATATCTCTGCATTTTCCTATTTGAGTACACATGAAAAAAAGCACAAAAAAAGCAGGGGACCTATTTTTACCACACATAGCAAACACACATTTCAGTTAAAGTCTATGGAATCAGTGGGAGATAAGGGATCATATATACTCATTCTGGTAGAGCCACTGGTCGTACAAAATGTCTCGGTATTTCTTTTGACATGTCATCAGAAAATTCCCCATATTTGAAAACGCTATTTACCTGACAAGTGTTCTAAGCAGAGCTCACCTAACAACTGGCAAGCAACAGAACCAAACTAAACTAAAAGTCAAAAACTGAAGCAAAACAAAATCAAAAAACTCCAAAGCCCACACTGATTTATGAATATTTCTGTAAATGGTATCACTGACTTTAGTTTGTTCAGATTCAGAGGGATCACAAAACTTTTGTTATTTGTGCATGTTCACACACTTGCCAGAGGCTTGTGAAGAAAAAAAATCCCTGAAAAAGCATAATAAAGTAAATTTTTGCAAAATTCTTTATTCTCTATGAAAATTTACCAGTTGTTACCCTCCTATTCAGTATTTTCAGCCTTTCTGAGCTGAAAGAACAGCATCTGGCACGGGTGACCAATAACACAAATGACAAAGGGCACAAGCAAAGAGTCTGTGAAAACCCCTGGGCAGAAAGTTAATTGTGGAAACTCTTGGCGAATACTTCTGAATAATGAATACATTCACAGGTTTTAGGTTAGGTTGGTAAACTTGGCTAGCAATGAAAAGGAGGAATAATCATAACTGTTATTGCTTGTAACAAGGTGTTCAACATCTCTTAGTAACTCTGGGTTCTGGAAGCTTTGTGAAGCATTGACATGGGGCACAAGGAACCGAGGGTGCACTGCAGGTATGGCCTGTATTAAACTTGGGAAAATTGCCTGAAGGTCAATGGCTGACACCACCTTGATGAATGTGTCTGTCTCTGCCCAAGAAATCCATTCCTTGATGACCAAAAATTGCCCGAAGTTCAGGGTGCATCTTGGTCAGACGGTTGCACCAGTGCCTAGGCTGTGGAAATGGTGTGCCAGGGCCATTGGAAAACTTGGTTCAGCCAGAAATTGTCCTATGTTTGAACAGCTGCTGACAGAAGGATTGAAGCTGACTGATAGAGTGACCTCAATTAACTGCCTTTACCTCCTTTCCTTGGAAAAGGGATGACTTCCAAAAAAAATAGAGACAGGTCACTACAATTGTCAAGTCAAAATTGTCCATGAGAACATGGATCAAACTGTACACCACCACTGCTGATCTTACTTGCTTGTTAATTTGCTCTAAAAAAATATTTCTCTTTTCAAAGCTTAAAATAGAGTGGGTACAAAGAAGTTCAGCTTCTTTGGGTGCGAAGCAAAAGGAAGAGGTCAGATTCTGTGATCTTTTTAGTCACTTCCACCTTCCACACCATTCCTACGTGCAGCATTTTGCTCACAGGGATATATCCAGGCAAAATAGGTCACTTATGTTTATATCTAGTGATAGCAGCCACCAAACTGGCAGTCTCCAAGGTTCATGTTCCTAACTTTATGTCCGTTGCTCTGCCAGGGCATGACTCCCATTTTGATCCTTAAATGACCAAGCAATGGACTCAGAAGGGGTCATGCATGTGGGCTAAAGGGAACGGAAATTCTGGAAGTCAGTGACCCCACTGAACTTTAACTTTAGTAGTTGATCACTGTGACTACTAGGCAGCTATTTCCTAAAGTCCCACGGGACTCACAGGTTTCTGAAGACTTTTTTGTTTTGTGTTGTTTTACCTCACTGATTCTGTTGTGTTTAAAGAAAAAGGAGATCTGGTATTAAAGTGGTCCCCGTAATAGCAATTAGTGAACCTCCATCACAGTCCTGGCTATCTTCCTTTCTGCCCTGGCAGACAGGTTCTCTGTTTCTGCAGCAGAGCCTGGAGCTGCTCCCTGTCCAGGTGTTTGCCCTGGGCTGATACACAGCTTGGTCTGATGTGGTGGATCAGCAACTGCTCCTGGAGGCCATAGGAGAAGCTCCATGTGTGCCTGCAGGGGTGAGCTGTGTCTGCCCGATCCTGCCCTGAACATGGTGACTAGAAGCCAAGTTTATGCCAGCCTTTAGGTTCATGAATATGTCCATTATTTTGGAGCACTGCTATACCATGCTGTCTCCTTTGCACCACAACATTAATTACCAGTGAGAGTCCTTTATGTTGGTTATTAGACATATTTAGGATTGTAGCAATTGTTGGGTGGAGGTACACACACTTGATTCATCTGCAGGGGTAGAGGACTGAGTCAGAGGCCAAGAACAGAGCAGGGCTTTGGATATACACAAACTTTAGAGACATCAGAAGTATTCTTTAACTTTTGTTCACTGAAGAACATTTGGGATATATGCCTGTGTTGTGCCTTACCTGCCACTTGAACTGGCAGCTGATCCCTCCCCTGAGATGTGCTGCTCTTTAAGAAGCCCTCCTTTTGAAATCCCACCATTCCTGTTTCACCTCTGCTACTGGATCGTTGCCTTTTCCATTATCTTTCCTTTTCAGATTGCCCACCAGCGGAGCTGCACGTGAGGGGTGGGGCACCGTCTTCCTGCTGACAGGTGGGTGGAGATGTTCCTTGGCCACACCAAGTGGGCCAGGAGCTCAACAACAGCGGGAACACAGAGCTTCCTGGGACCTGCCTCTGCTGCTCTGGACCTGGGCCTCTGTCTGTATCTGCATCATGCCTCCTGGGGTGGGTGCATTTTTCAAAGTGCTTAGGTACCAAGGTGATAGGTGCCTTGTAAATACCTAAGATAGATACAGACAGAAACTGTACCAGGTGCTTTATGCAAAACTTCATACAATGCCAATTGCACCTCCGTGCTGTAGTATCACCCACCTGGTCTAGCATCTGCAGTCAACCACAGGCAAATATTTGGCACATGCATTTTTTTCCTTTTGAAAAGTGATGGGAACACAGGACATTCATTCTTCCTTGGTGTCAACAGCTTTGGGCATATGGCCCTTAATGTCAGGTACTGCACATGCACGTTTTGTTCCATTGCCTTCCCTAAATACGAGTTTGCAGGTTTAGTTTAATATCTTTCATCAGCTGATAAAATTTGTCAATAATCTGCAAAAATGGGTTACATAGGCAGCACTAAAACTAAAAGGGTAGTCTTCGCATGTGCCTATTAAAAATGGATAGAGATTCATTTAAACTGCATAAAAATATGGCTGTGGTGTTGCTTTTATCTTATGGATTAACTTTTTTCCCCAATTTCTTCTATTTTTAACTACAAGCAGTTTGATTTTGGTATGAAAACCAGGAGTGATTACACATGTAATTAAGTTTCCAAGTCTGAAAAAAAAAAAAGCAGCATCTAAAACAGGCAGGTGCAATTATTTACACTGCATTCCTTTTAGGTTTTTGTCACTTCCCATATATATGCAAAAGAGCTTGCCCTGCTTAGTTTGTAAAACAATAGCCGGGAAGTAACTTTCTAAAGTTACTTGGGGGTGAAAGTCTGTGAGTGGGAGAACTAGTAAAGGACAATTTGGGTGAAAGGTCTGGGAATGTGGACAAGGCTTTCAAAGAAGCAGATAGACCAGCTTTCCAATATTAATGGGGTGGCAGCAGAAATATGAGAACCTAATGATTTCCAAAGAAAGCTTGGTCAGACTATAGAAGATCTTTTGATAATGTTGCTTGTCATAGAAGCAACTGCACCTGATGAGTAAAACTTCAGTGTCCCTGAGGAAAAACAGGTGACTCCTATTTGGAGATGGTTAAAAATGGATCTCTGATACATCAGCTGTGCCCACTGAAAACGAATGGCTTTCTTTTGATCTATTAAAATAACATTAGATGTATAAAAATTCATCAAAGGCCAGAATTAGGTTAAGTATAATGAGGCTTTCAACACACCACTAAGCATTTAAAGACTAAGCTTAGCTAAAGAGTTGATTCAGAATAAGAATATTAAAGGTTAAGTTGAAATCCAAATTTGTTATTTATGATCATATTCAGAGGAAAGAAACAACAAGTTCAGCCTACAGTTATGTCATATAAATGTATAGTTAAAAGTACACAGAAATTGTATGGTCTGAGTTTTCATGTAGACAATTAGGTTACTCCTCATAAATTTGCCACCACATTTTAACCTAGAATTAACTTCATCCAGCCCCACCCCAGAGGAACAATTTGCAGGATTGTGCTTAAATCATAATGCCAAAAATCACACATTTACCACACTGTGAACAACAGGCAGAGAATATTACTTTAGCAGTCAGCTTGATGAGGAAATAACAGAAGTGCTTTGCAATACAGTCAAACATATAAGGCACTTGAAAAACTTTCCTTCTATAAAAATTAAGTAAAAATACTTGTCTGTTCTCTGGGATACCTCTGTAAACTCTATAAAGTACACTAAAATAAAATAAAAAAAGGGAAAATATAGAAAATAAATCAGTAAAACATAAAAATTGTTTAGTGACTAAAATTAATCATTTAACATTGAGTAAATACCATTACGTGATTTATGGAAATGATTTGTATGTATCAAAGTAAAGAACTATCAAAACTTTCTTGAAAGAAAGTCTTATTTGTGTTTCTAGGGCTGAAAATTGCTTCACATTAGTACACACAAGTCACATTTACACATTATAATCACACCATGAAAAGTAACTTTAAGGAAGGCAGAAAACTGATATGTTCAAATTCTTTCAGAGATACAATTTTCAAGTACCAGCTCTTTAACAGTATAATCAATTAATGAAATAATTATACAGGCATTTAAAATACACCTGCAATCCTGAAGCCTTACAATTCAGCCTACCTTGAAAGAGGAATGGTCATTGTCTAACAGTGGTTTCTGTTCAAGAACAAAAACAAAGCAGAGAATATAGTCAATACCCACTCCTATCCTGCAAGCCAGGTGGAATTTAAGTGGCAATTTGATGTTCTGTTTAAGAGACAGCATTTGAAAATTTGGCCTAGTCACAAAAGAAAGACAACCAACTGAAAAAAAAAACAAAAAGAAAGTGGAGGACTTAAGACACTTGCAACCTTCTCTGGTCTTACACTTACTCTCACACTTCCACACCGAGGGGAAAAACCAAACAAACTATGAGGAATTATCTAAAACCATTTATTTTTAATTATATTAGAAATTAATTAACATGGGTATATGAACATTTGAAGGCAAAAAAAAAAAGTAATAGCAGCAAAGGGAGTTTTGAGATGAGGGAGATAAGTCCTTCATCTCCCTGGCTCCTGAAAAAAAGAGAGAACACATTAAAAATGTTGAAGGAGTTTTTCGCTACCCTAACTGTGCCATGTTGGGAAACACATGCAATTTTAACTGCTCCTCGAGCCCTCATGATTTTGAATAGTGCTCAGATATTAAATTGATAATATCTGAGCACAGCAACACTCACATAAGTCAACATATTTAATTCGTCTCTTTCCAAATGCTACAAACCCCACATTTTCTGTAACACTTACAATTCCTTTTCCAACTTCTTTTATACCATTATCTTGTTTGGCTGATGCAGAAATATTTTGAAAACCTTTTCAATTACTGTCCTGTAGTAAAGAAAAACAAGTATCATGAAAGAGCACTACACACTCCAGAATAAGCTGATAAATTCAAAATAATACTAGTGTACATGAGAACACCCACACAGAGATTCAACCAACCCTCTCAGAATTCCCAGAGCTTCCAAAATGTTAGTTAAAGCTGCCCACCTCATGCAACATAAACCCTGGTTTGAAGAAGTTTTTAGTTCCAAGAGTTACCTGTTAATTTTAGATTCTGTGGCACAAGTTGCTAATCAGCACATTGCCAGCCAAGTGCCAAACTTTTGTTGGTGGAAAACAAAAGTTTTTGAAATGTGCCAATTTTCAATACTTTTCTCTTATGAAGTGTTTTACCAGTACTCATGTTGTAGCCACAGCCCTAATCCTACACCTTCTTCCTGTGGACTCCCCACGAGTTACATTCCAAGTTGTAAAATCTCACTGCCTCAGCAAAAAAAAGGGCTGATATACATGTACTGCACAAATTCCACCCAGAGTCACTGCTTTCTACTTGTGATAAATGACAACCCGATGACAACCTTTTCCTCATCACTACATCGCTGTCTCATTACAATTTCAAATACGTAACGTGAATCAATTACTTACACGGGCAACCTTCAAGAATTCTTCATTAAGCCTGGTGCCTTTTGCTCTCATCTTCTAAAACACAGTGTCTGGTGGATGTCAGAAAACCTTCTTCCTACAGAGAAGCACTGAAGATGCTGGAAACTACCACGGGAGTTGAGGCTGTGAGTGCTGTAAAAGTTCCTTTGGTGGTATTCCCATTGTTTTCCTGCAGACAAATCTCCATCATCAACTCCACCACAGTGAAATAAAGAAATGATTTTTGAACCAGACAGTTTTGGGAGTGGTTTCTTCAAACATAACAGAACACTGTAAGCTAATCCACTGTTTGGCATTCATTTATATATATTTGCTCTGCAGTTTCATTGTTTCAGATGCCATTGGAATGTGCCACCTTTGAAACAATGGACAACAGGAATGGGATGAAGTGTGGACACTTATTGCAGACAGAGCTAATAATATTTCTTTTGAATGCCATCAACTGATATTTTTCTATTCAAATTCCAGTAAAGACTTGATGCCAGCTAACAATATTCTCTGTTGATGATATCATAGTTATTCTGTATCTGTGAGGTGGTGATAGACGCTAAACTCTTCAAAGGAGGAAAATCCCATATTTATATTTGATACTGTAGCCCATACCAAACCCCAAAGACCAGTATCGACACACATATTTCATCAGTGTATGGTATATATTAATATTTGATATTGATTACCATATCAAATCTAAGAACAAACAAACTACCACCCCTAGCCACAACTGAGACTCATGTGACATTGCCAGTGGAATATCTCTTAATGGAGAAGAATTATTTATCTTGCCATTCCCGTTTTGCTACAAAAATTTAGCCTGCTCTAGTCTTAATTCTATACTTTCTCTTAGAGAACTTTATATTAGGCATTTTAAAATTAAACACTTCAGCTTTCACTGAAAATCCCAGATTACTCACTAAATCAAACCTATTTCCTGTCAGGAAAGAAAGAAAAAGCTTAGGAGCAGGAAACATTTAAATAATGTATCTAAACATTTGCAGGTCTTAGTTTATGGATGTGTTCCTTAAGGATCATATAATTTTAAAATTCTCCATCCACAAGAAGTTATTGATTAAACAAGTCGAAGCAAGAACTGAAGAAAAAAGCCCTTTAAAGCAAGCTTTTCACCAGCTGCATAAACTTCCTATGAACAGAGTTAAATTTATTATTTTAAAACATTAATTTTGAAACTCAAATGATACCCATTTTGAAACCACAATGATACCTATTTTCTCCAGTGATGACGAAAATTATGACCCCAAGTTTTCCTTTTAATGTTTCATTTTTAGAGTATTTTCAAACCTTCATTTAAATTTACTGCGTGAATATTCTGGTTATTCTTCAGTATTAATGGAATTATATTTTAAGTGCTGCCTCCAACAAATTGCTGCTACAACTGTTAGTTTACATGTTGCCACAACTTATGCATTCTTGGAATTTACAATCTTTAGAATTCTTGGAAAACTGCAAGTCACAAATGAAAGAAGAATGCCTCCTCCCCATCCCAGATATCCCACAAAACCCAGAAGGTAGTTTGACTATTGAAAACATGTCCCCTTCACATACACATTTTAAAGTTGGAAGCTATCCCTGAGTCAGGCAACTGCTACAGGTCAGTGGCACAGATGAAGCACAGCTAAATTTTAGAGATTCATGCAATGTAACTGCATTAAAATGACAGAACTGCCCATGCCATGCTGCTCCAAACCTAAAGATTTTATTACCTATCTTTTTAGACACAACTATCATATCCTGAATATAAAAAGTACAGCCTATGTCCTTCTCCTCTCCTGTCCTCCCAACGAACCAGAACCCATCTCCAGAGACAACCGACAAAACCAGTCAAACGGAACCACAGAAGCCATTATTTTTATCTTAATGTCTCCCTTGCCTCTGACCCAGAAAACTGAATTTTGAGTTGACAGAAGACTCTACAATAACAATGCAAAGGGTTTATATGCTGCCAAAATGTATTTTTCAGTAGCCATGTGGTTTATTCTCTGAATGGAGAATGGCAAATATCACTAGGTGGAACCTGTTTTAATGACCTGAAAGGAGGTCAGGAAAGAGCAGAAAAATAAAGAGTGAAAAATAAACCAATTTTATCCTATTTAATGTTAAAAAGCTTCCCTGTTGAGAGAAGACACTGCCTACAGCCTAACTTTCCTTTCCATGACGCTGAGCTTTGTCCAAGAGCAGGACACAGGCTGTTTTTCCAGCTACCACCCAGGGTCTCAGACAGATTTGAGGCTCTTCCTCAGGCCAGACGGCATGAGAAGGTGGAGATGACACGGTCCCTGCTCAGGAGAGCTCACAATCTAGGAAAGCAAAATGACGTATAGGAGCATGGAAAAATACAGCTCAACACAAACAAATTCTGCATACACATATGTACATTGATAAAAGCTCTTCAAACAGCACCACTACTTCTACCTGCCCCTCTGCCTAGCCATCAGTGCTTGGATGGTTGCTTAACAGGGATCTAGGGAAAGTGGGTCTTTAGGAGAGATGTCAAGGAGAAGATTTTATGGATCAGTCCAGGGAGGGCACTCCATGCATACGGGACAGCGTGGGAGATGTTATGTTGGGAATTAAAAATTGTGCAGAGCAGCATTTTCTCCAGGTCAAAAGCTCAGGTGTTGTGTGCAAGATCCCTACTTCCTGAGACAGAGACAGTGTGGTTTTATGGGAGTAATGTGTGGCCACTAAAAAAGACAAGCAGAACCACTAACGTAGGACTACACTGAGGATGTTACTGGCCACTACCTCTCTATGGCTGCCAGTTAGCACAGTAACTGTGAGGAGATGAGATGGAAGGGTTTGGAAAAGAGTTGGATACAGAGAAGGAAAAAAGGCAAGATGAAGGAAAGGAGACAAAAGGAAGAAATGTGGGGAGTATTTTCAAATGTGGTCTTCTGTTTGAGTTCTTAGTGTGTTTGCAATTTATTAACTAAATAACTAAAAAACATATATAATAATTAATGTACATTTGACACCATAAAATAAACTGGACCATATGCCAACATTTACATTATGTTATTATCCTTCACTATGGAAAGGTGAGAAACAGGTTAAACAAGAGACAAAATGCTTCCCCTTACCCTTCTTCTTCCGTACTGAAGCTTGGAAACAGAAAGGGAATGAACTGTGAATCAATTCTGAAGGTAATTTTTTATATGCTAAATCCTTGTCTGTCATTTTGAGCATAAACATTATTCTTCCATCTAAGATGTCAGTCTCTCCCTGCTCCCCTCCACTAAACATGTATCTATCAAAACACAGTAGACAAAATCTGCTTTTGCCAAGATGTTTATCAGGGTTTGTATTAAGAAATTTCTCCTCTGCAGGTATTAGGGACACATGTACAATTAATTTTTTTTTCTGAATTCTTTTTTAAAACAGAAATTGGGGCAACTTATTGACACCAGGGCTTTCAAACCCTTGACAATAGGGCATTTTCAAATCTTTGCAGGTTGAAGTGGAAAGGAATCATTAGCACAAGTTATCTGCTGTCTCTGGGATCAATTAGTTTGAAAGAGAACAACTGAGATGGTCTGCTCAGTGTTATGAAGAACAGGATAGCTAAAAACATGTCAATAAAACTGTAAGTAGAGTTCAGAGCCAGGCAAAGGAAGTAACTGTAATGACTGCAAGATGTATAATTTAAAAAAAAAAAAGTTGTTTAGCTCAGCTAGGAGACATTACAAAACTATGTACTCTAAGGGAAAACAAGTCGGGAATTTCTACTTTTCTTTCTATTACATAACAAGGGACATTCAATAAAATTAAAAGCATCACATTTAAAACCAATAAAAAGGAAATACATTTGTACACAGCACATAATTAGCCCGTGGGATTCTTTGTCATGAGACGTTATTGAGACCATAAGCTTCTCCAGTTCAGAAAAAAGGATTACACATATATATTGATGAGAACATCCACAGAGTTCATTTATAGATCTTTCCTATTTAGTTTGCATATACATGTTATGAAATAAATGCCTATTCATTAGTTTAACGGATATAAAAATGTGGGTGTTCTCATAGTTCTCACAGATGTCCAATATATACACATATACATATAGAGATATATAAATCAGAGATAAATACACACATACAATCTGTGGTTCATGTCAGAAGACAACTTTTGACTGATGATAGGGAGAACATTTTCATTTGGGAAGCTTGTTCAGTTGTGCAATTTAGCAATTCTTGTTCCTTCTGATAAGAGCCCTTTTACAGGGCAAATATGAAAATAGGTTGACCACAGATGTTATTTATAACAGTAGTTATATTGTTTGCTACGTTGGCAAGTGTTCAGAGTGTCACATAAGTGGCATTTACAGCCTTATTTAGGAAGAAAACAAATTTCTGCCATTCCTATAGCTTTACTAGGGGACATAAACTCCTGGAACGTGGTGCAGGACTATTCTTCAGAATAGCAAACTCTTGCCACTGTAATATTTGCCCTGTCTGGATAAAGATATGAATGGGAAATGTGCTTAAATATTGAGGTGTGTCCCATGGCTGCTTGTTAAATGAGTTGTGGTGTTTTCTGCCAGTTGGGGAGAACAAACAGCAGGTCAAGTGCTACAACATGAACTGGGGGTGAGGAAGCTAAATTATGATGGTCCTCACTGCAGGGGGATGTTACTATTAACAGGCTGTTCTCCTCCAGGAAAGAGTGCTGCCTCTCTCTGCTCTGAGAACAGTATCCCCTATGGAAGATTGAAAAGAGAAATAGAAGAGTACAAAAGCACCCAGACCCAAAAAGTGGCTCCAGAAAGAATATTTTACATTTTAAACATGGAAGAAAAATGACAGAGCAATCACAAAGTGTTGATACCTTTAGCTGAGCTCCTAAACTTCCTGACCCAGAAAAATCAAATTTTCTGAGATCTGTTAGAGCTAAATAATCAGACTGTTCAATTTTGGTCTTCACTTGGTTGTTACACCATAGAGAAGACAGTGCTCACTTCAGCCCCCCTCTGTTGGCAAGACCTCCCACTGGACCTGTGTGACTTGACTCCTTTAAGGATGGATGGGGTCCATCTGCCCCAGAAAACACTGACTTTCAGGGGAAAAAAAGTGGCCACAAGGCTTTGATTCCTTCCAGTTGGCCTTCATATGAGCCCATGACAGAAAAAAGATTATAAAATGTAAATATTTAAATCAATGCAGAATTAAATGGAAAAATGGTTTTATTGTATGATTTATTATCATCTATTACTCTGCAATGAGGGATGTGGTTTGTTTTTATACCCAATTATCACTTGCTAAACACACTGTTTTACTGTTATAGTCACATAGAAATATGATTTATTCATAACATACTTCTTAGTCTAGCTGCAGAAATTCTACTTTTTAATGACCTAACAGGTTAAAACCAGGAAGAAAATACCTTCCTCATTTCTAGAAAATTAATAAAAATTCCCCAAGAATTATGCATATCTAGGATGTGGATGATCAAGCAAAGGAATCTACAGTCACATTTCTTAAAATTAGCAAATAAAAGACTGAATACTCAATATTTTTTATTACCATTAGAGAGGAATTAAGTTTATATCATGCACAGAAGTCAAAGTGATATCATAATATGCACTTTTTTCAGATCAGCTTAATGAAACAAGTTGAAGTTGAAGCTGCTTTAACACTGTCAGCTTTTAACAACAGCTTCTGGCAGCTTACCTTTATCCACTAATGAGAGGCCACAGAAATTTAAAATAAAACAATATTAGATGAACTGCAAACTCAGAAAGCAAAGCTAACAAAATACGACACGGCATTATTTTTTGTGTGTAGATGTGCCAGACTCTGATGATGCACAAAATGTATCAACATTCTCCTGCGTAGCAGTAAAGGCACAAGTTTAAACAAAAATCATTCATGCGAGTCATGCACAATTTGAACTCTTCCAGAGATGCAGCATTCTTAAAACCTTTTCTGTTCTACACACTGTACACAATGCAGCTCCCTTTAATCAATTTAACACATACACATCTATCTATCTATCTATCTATACATATTTACATTTCTACTAAGCCATGCTTGCCAAAAAACACTTTCTTACCAAGCTCTTCAAGCTCTGAGGTCATTGACTTAGACCGCAGGGTCAGTGCAGTGGTTGGAGCTCGCTTAGGAGGTGGTGGGGCTTTGCATTAAACAGAAAAACACACAGTGTAAGGAAACACCTTCAAACCCTACATTTACATCCACAATTTCACCTCAATTTAAAAAGAATAAGCTACATGAAATAAGGTAAGAATAAATACATACATGCGGAGGAAAAAAGCCCTGAGATGCTTTTCCTTTACTGAATTTCTCTACTGTTTCTGGTTTTAGCGTAGGTTGTTTGACACATCCGCAAGCTTTTATGTAACATAGGATACATAGAAACACTTAAAGCTAAATAACTGTGCACTTCTATTTTCCAGCAGGAAAAAGGTTTCCTAGAGGAAGGGCCTCACAGCAGTTGTGCCCCTTCTAAGGCTAAAAACCTCCTGGAGACCAGCCAATCTCTGACAGATTAATTTAATTTGTGAAGAAACTGTTCGATCTGAGAAATACAGGAAGATTCAAATTGATCTGAATAGTTATGGTGAGTCTAGGGGAAACAGATGATCCTCAGAATAAAGAAGATCTTAAAATATCAAGACAGTCATCTAGCACAGGAACTAAAATCCAGCGTGTGCTTTAGTATCCTGAGAACAAATGTTTCTGGTGGTCAGAAAGGAGGCTAACATCCAAAAAGAAAATGGAGATTTCCAGTCAACATCCCTGGCCCTGTGACACCAGGAAAAAATAAGGATTCTCAAGTGTTTTGGTCAATACAAAATGCCTATAGCATTTTGAAAAGAGGAGGCAAAGCAGTTTGAGGGCAAGAAAGAGTGATGGAGAGAAGAAATAGACAAGGTGCTGAATAATTTGTTAAATGAGGTTGGGTATCTGACATCTGACTGATGGCAACAAAATCCTTCCACACAATTCCAAAGGTACAAAGGCAATTGCCAGGGAACAAGCCAGGCTGCAAACTGCCATCAAAAAGGGACAAGATTCAAAGGGGAAAGTGGTTGGTAAATGACACATTATCACTAGGAATTACAAGATGACAAAGAACTGGGTTTGTTTTCACAGAAGCAACTTCCCTTTGGGTTGTAGACAACAGCACTTTTATTTCACTGAATGGTTTGGGTTGGAAGGAACCTTACAACTTATCTTCTTCCACCCCCTGCCATGGGCAGGGACACCTTCCACTAGACCAGGTTGCTCTAAGCCCCATCAAACATGGCCTTGACACTTCCAGGGACAGGGCAGCCACAGCTTCTCTGGTAAACTTGTGCCAGAGGCTCACCATCCTCCCAATAAAGAATTTCTCCCTGACATTTAGTCTAAATCTACTCTCCTTAGGTTTAAAGCATTGTCACTACATTTAAGGCTAATATGACACATCCCAAAAGGCAGAGATTAAAGGTTTGTTTAAAATGTGTGAATAGTAATTCCAACAAGCCAAAAATAATGCAGGGCCATGTTTGGACATGACATAAACATGGCCTTTCCCTCCCACCCCCAAGGTGAGTTTAATTTTATTTGTTTTTTTTTATTATTATTATTTTGATAAGCAGTAGATGTGAAGAACATTCCCAGTGTAGACAGAAAGTTTTAGTCATGGACTAGGAGGGAGCCCTGGGCCTCCAGCTCCTCACCCCCTCTTGTGTTGAAGATCCAGGTGTCTGACAGTGATAACTCAAGGAACTGGTGGGAGGAACTGGAATTTTCAAAAATGTGCTGCTGCTGTACTAAACACTAGTTAGCAGCAGCAATCTTTCCTGCTTAATGATAATTATGGGGGCCTAATGAATTCCCAGCATAGCTGTCACCTGAGCAAACTAAGGGGCATCCAAGGTGAAGGAAATAATGTAAAATCCATTTTTGTTTCCTCTTTTTCTTTTTTTCTTTTTTTTTTGGTGAAGTTTTAGTGGTTTTTTTCATGTGAGAAACACATTGAAATTCTTAAGGGAGTAGTCCAATATTAGGATATAGGTTAACCCATAATGTCCATTAAATTTAATTAAAAACAAACCAAACAAACCCTAGGCTTGGAAAAAACCCTATCCTGTCTGTACCCAGCCAATTCTTTCCCAAAGTCTTTGTGGCACACAATGTCATACAAACCTCTGTTGGAGAAGCTGCCTTCTCATTATCAGCCAAATGGCAGAAAAAGCATCTTAGTGTGTTGTCTGTTGATGAGAGGTGAAGGGATATTCCCTGGCTGGAACAACTCCTCTATTTTAATTTCATGTAGAGGAATTTTCTCATTAAAATGTACTCTTTTTTCTACTAGAACTTCAGTCTAAACATACTGCTTACTTTTGTTATTCTTTCTGCAAAAGTTGCAAAAGTTCTCAATGATTTCAAGAGGTACTCTCATCCCAAGTACATTTGTTATTAACTAATAAAAGATCATCTGTTCTTTGTTACTACAAGATCCTCAAACATATACATGTATAAAACCCCATAAAGATTAACTTTCATGGCAAGTAGGATGAGAAAATATTACCCTTTTTGTCACTTATAAATGCATAAGCCAAGATAATTAAATTACTCTAAGTTAAACAGTAATAAGGCATTTAAAAGCAAAGTCTATAAATCAGAATTTATAAAGCAGTATCTTCATGTCTATATTTTCTTTTCTGAGCAGCAAAACCAAAAGAGTCCATCAGGAAAAGAGAAGAATGTACCTTTCTTTCTAGCTGTGTCATCTGGATCAAGATTCCTGGTTACTGTGACAACCTTAAGAACGAGGTGATTGCCCCCTTGCCGAATCATGTTCACCACCTGCCTGTGGCCAACTTTCACTACATTCTCATTATTAACCTGCAGAGAAAGAAAAGAGTCTTTCAGATCAAAATGCAGAAAACTTTTTGTTCAAGCAGTTTCAAACACAGAAGGTGGAAAGGGCAGGAGGGTGCAGAATTTCTAGTTACTGTCTTTTAATAAAAATACATATTTAACAAACAGTGGACAGCTGATGAGATGACAGAAAAACACAGCTATCTTTTCAGGAAATATGTAACTAAATAAATTCAACCAAATCCTCCCCTTTACATATTTTATATGCAGCAAATAACATTTTCCTTCTGCAAGTTTCTCATGTGCTGGAAGCAAAGGCAACAGGACCATACCAGGGCAAAAGAGTCCTAATGGAAAAAGAAGAGTGAACTACATAAAGCCCTGTGGTCATCCCAATTCAACTTCAAACTGCACTGCAACATTCAACTTCAAAATATATATTTTATGATGTAGATATATCTACACTTCCTCAGTAATTCCTAGTGCTCCATTATCCTTTTTGCTGAATAAGTCTTTCCATAATATTAATTAATAGACAGAGAAGAAAGCATAGGCATTAAAAGTGTAAATAAGCCTGGATAAAAGTAATTTATTTATTCATTCGATCTATAAGGAGTCACTGCAAGTTCTCTGAAATTTGAAGGATGGCAGCATATAAAATTGAAGTGAGCTATTTGAACACAAAAGATATTGAGGAATGGAAGCAGAGATGCTGCCAAAATACATGCTGGGAAGTTGATCTCTCTCCAAAATTCAACTGACTCAGTAATATTTCACTGAGATCTCTCAATGCCTTCAAAATGAACAGTCATTTTCAAAGTGTTTTTAGCTTCCTCTGTTTATTCTGATAGGCTGGGCATCTCACTCTCAAAAGAATTTACAGTTTAGAGCAAAATGTCTCATTAAATATTATTGCCATTTAGAGATCAAACAGCACAAGCAGCCCCACTCCAACTTGAAATCGGTTTTCCATCCATGTATTGAAGGAAAATCTTCCCTTTTTTCAGACTTTAGCTGAGACAAAATGCATTTTAATGAAATAATGTATTGGTAAACAATATTTTTAATACAATGCTGTAATTAGAAGTTTCAAGTATGAGCTGTCTATAAGCTTGAGATGCTTTTTGAGATGCTTTTTTGGTTTCATACACAGTGACGTAGGTGTAACACATGCTGAACATCCAGACCTGTTGAGCAGGCAAATATAAAAGTTCTATCATTCTGTGGAGGTGGAGGGTATAAAAGAATATCGATTTAAATAGGACTCTTGCTGTTTGGTTTTATTTTACACCTTCTTAGCATCTGGTATTTAATTCCAAGATATGATATTTATTTAGCTGGACTGATGGCATCTAAATTCAATCTGCCTAAAATATTGAGACAAACAGAGTTATCCATTTCCTTCCAGTGTTAAAACCCCAACCAGGTAATTCTTTTCCGCAGCAAAAAAAAAATAAATTAAAACATTATGTAATTAAGAATTATGGAATGGATCTACTCTATTTTTGCTGGAATTAAATTTTAAGCTTGGAAGCCAGTGAAGATTACAATAAAATCCCTAATGCTGTCAAAAAATAGGGCCTTCCAAGTAAACCAAAAGTTAATATTAATCAAACACATGCACACTTCACTAGTGTAAAGTGATAAATGTGTAAAATTATAAACAGCTTATGCAGCATCCCATCTGTTCCCATTGCTATGTGCAATGATATTTAACATTTACAGCAGGAGCAAATATATACACAACACATTTCTGAAAGCTGCCTCAGAAACAGAACCTGCAAATCACTGTTTATAGCAGCTTTGTTTAAAAGGCTTGGTTACAAGAGCTGGTACCAAAAAGATTTATGTGGCGAAAATAAAAATATTGATAGGAGAACTGAAGGTTATTTAACTTGAGGAGTCTGTTGAAATACTAGAGAACAAAAGAATCACGAAACCAGTAGAGCAGAAACTCATCTTCAGTCTTTAGCACCTCAGGGGGTAAAACTGGATCATGATTACAAAGCAATAACTTCGGAATTGTCAATAGCTTATAAAGAACTAGATTTCAGAGACATTATTTATTTCTTTTACCCTTCTTCAGTATTTTATACAGAAGCCAAATGACTGCAGAAATGGTCAGTAAGTGGTGAGTAACCAGAGTTCAAGCAGAGTTTTTTTGAGGTTTTAGTTTGATATTATTCAGCAAAGATTTTCCAGGTGTGAATAATTTGATGAGTCTGTCTCTCTACTTCCACCTCAATCTTTGGCGGCAGGACATGACCACTGCATCTCTTTGCAAACTAACTGAAGGAGGTAATTTTTTTACAATCTCTTTAAAACAAATAAAAAAAATCAGTAAAAGAAAACAAAATCCCAAACAAAAACTGTAAGAAAAAAAATCTATTTCACCTGTGCCAATTAATTTCATAATCACTTGTGTTCTTGGAATTAATTAAATGTAGTCACATTCTTCAAAACACTAAAAAACTATATTTTCTTTTAGTGGTAAAGTGTTTAGAAGGAAGTTCTATAAACAGTCAAATAGTAAAGTTGGTTTGTAGGCACAAATTTGTGTCTTTTCCTGTTTTCCTATATCTTTCAGGTTATTTTTTGTAATCTTTCATGGCAAAATCTTAAGTTCTTCTTTTCCTTCGATTATTCCCCCAAACTTTCCTGCACGGAATTTTTTATCCCATGTCCTTCATAAATAAAGGGAAATAGATAAAAGAAATAGATATGTGCTGGGGCTGGTTCTGTGCTACATCAATGGCAACTGCTCCTCCAACAAGCCAAATACAAGTAAAACTGTCCCTTGGGACAAGCCAAGAATTTCAATAACTCTCCTCTATCCATTCCTGATGCTCAGGAAAAGCCTCAGAATTCTGTATTTTTGAAGATCATACTTTATCACCATTTGGTTAAAAACTGGGCAGTGGGATGGAAGTTACTCTGAGAGAATTTGAGAAATAATTTATGAAATAATATGATCTCATAGACAGAATATCTTTTAAAAATAGCCTAATCTGGAAGCCTGAGCTGTCTAAAGCTGAGCTTAGTTTTGAAGCTTAAAGCTCCAAACCAGAGACTGTGATCAACAACAAAGTTCCTCTTGCACAAAGAGGTTTGAACACCAATGATGAAGAGTTCTCTCTCCAAAATTCTCTCAAGAGACGATTCAAAAATACAGAGCAAACCAGTGACAAAGACAAGTGCCAGTCACAAGCCTCTCTGTCTGTAACATCCAGGTCCACCACTCTGATATTATTTTACTGAGAATTTATTCACAACAACATCTAAAACCCAAAACCCTCCCAAATCACGAAATTTTATTCCAGAATAAATAATGATGTGGATTCCAAAAGCAAAATATCAGTCAGGTAATCAAATTTTTTTATATGTGAAATATTACCCGCATGGAAAGCCCTCCCTACAAAAGATGATACATGAACACACATGCGTTATCTGAAAATTTTCTTCCTGCAGATTAAATTTACACTTCCACCCCACAAATAAATGCGTAGTTCCACATCTTAAGAAAATGAAAGTGTATTATTCTTTATAGTACTTATTCCCCACTGAAGCTACAATGAGGTGGGTCCCCATTTTTTCGCCACACCCCATCATCACCACGAAATATTTGATTACAAACAACTTTGCTGTGTAAATACATTTGTTTGCTTACACAGGCAGATTTAGGACAAGAAAAAACAAATGCTATTATTTAAAAATGTGATTTTTTTTTAAAGAATGAGTTAATGAGATGCTGGGGTAGATTCTGTGGGTATTGAGGCAGGCTGGATAAAAGGATTTTTTCAGAAATGCATAGCTAGGCAATGGGTTGAAAAAGAAGAAAATACAATACAATACAATACAATACAATACAATACAATAAAGCAAAATAGTAAAATAACCTGCACATTGTAGGAGAGCAGATGCCTGAGCTGGAACACATTCACCAGAGCAGCCTTCCCGTAGGAAGGTGCAAAAGAAAAAAACACTACCAGAGAAAGAGACCTTTGCAGAGTTTGTTCTATTAATAATTTTAAAAAAATCCTAATTTCTTCAATGCATCATCCCAATCCTTCCATTATCTAAACATTCTCTCAGTGGAAAAGGTAGTCAGTCATTTTTAACACTTATTAAGTAGACAAAACTCCATCATTCCACTTGGAATGGCCATTGGTTACAGTTGGGAATGCACATTCTGCCACAAAAAGCTTCTCAGAAGCTCTTTCTTATCCATTGAACTACTTAAAAAAAAACCACAACAAAACCCCAAACCCATTACACACACACTTACAAAGCCCTGCCCACACAGTTTCTAAAATTCACCATTTTTGGTAAATATTTAACACAGACAAGCCCAATTACAATTTGTACCAGCAAAATAAATTGCCCACATGTAATTTTGTGGGCTCAAATTAAACTTTTGCACCTCAAGTAACTACACAGGACACTGCCTGAGCCTGTCACAAACCAGGAAGAGTTTCCAGGATTTGTCCTTGACAAGTATATTTAGTGCATAAAATCCTATTATTTGCTTTGTGTTAAAACCTCTAAATTCATCCTAAATGTTGAATGAAACAAGTCCATGGACAGCATGAAGATAAGCAGTCCACCTAGAAAACCTTTTGTGAAAGCCAATTGTAACAAATTCTGTTGGCAGTATCCTTTTCCCTGAGTATTCCAGGAAAGGACTGAATCAAAACATTTGCTGATAGAGCTTAAAGACAAGTTAAAAAGGTCCAAAGCCAAAAGATGCTTTGGTTTAATGGTATTTTATGTGCTTACAAAATGCATTTAACCACAACTGATATCAAAGTTCATTGTCTCAAAAAGCACATGAGTTTAACCTGCATCTTAGATCAAAATAGAGAGTAATAATATAATATATAAATGAGTCCCATAATGGGAATTAATTTACGAATTTATCTCTGCAAAGCCAATTACTCCCATCATACCCTAGAAGCTTAAGCAGACAAAAGCAGATGGCTTCAGTCCATCAGACTCCAACTATTCATTTGAACAATTTCTGAAAC